TCTGCAGAAATCCCTGGGAAGCAGCTAGGCAGCCCTGCCCACCCTCTGCTGCCGTAGATGCAGCTGATGACCCCACTCACGTGCACAGCCCCGGGCATCTGCCCTGGAGGTTCAGCCGGCCAAGTCTGCTGGGAGCAGCCACATGGCTCCGTCCAACTGCCCTGAGACCCTGAGCACAGCGAGCAGCCTTTCCTGACCAGCTTGGCCCACAGAAGCCCAACGAAGCAGACAGCCTTACCCACATGTCCACAACTTCAGCAAGTAGCAAAGCAGCTTTCTCTGAGCGGCACAGCCAGGCAGCCCCCAGGAAGAAACCCGGCTGCTTCACCAACCTTTCCACCAACTTAAGAGGCAGCTGAGCAGCCCACTCTCAGATCCTCAGCCCACCGAGATCCTTTGATGCCTACACTCGGCCTTGCCCGCTCGCCCTAATTACTCTAAGAAACTCCCCAACTCCGGCCGCAGCGTGACTCCCCCACGTGGGAGAGAGTCTGAAGAAAGTGAGACTGAAAGCTTCCCCCTTAAAGGACTAACAAAACGATGATGTCCATTTTCACCACTCCTGTTCAACGTAGGCCTCTGAATACTGGCCAAGCAAAAGGAGTAAAAGGGGTATGTAAAGGAAAGAAAGAAGTCGAATGATTGTTATTTCCCAATCACGTGATCCTCTACACAGAAGACCCAAAAATTTTTTGCCAAAGGATCCCTGAAATTAATAGCCAAATTCACTACTGTAGCAGGACAGAAAATCACACAAAAATCCATAGCATTCTTCACACCAATAATAAATTCACTAAGAAACTAGGAAAATATCATTTGCAATAGCATCCAAAAAAATTAAATACTTAAGTATTAACCTAGTCAAAGATGTGAAGGATCTCTATAAAGAAAACTACAGTACTCTGAAAAGAACAAAAAACAACAACAGAAAATGGAAAGCTATACCTATTCCTGGATGGTCAGAATAAATGTTGCCTCTTCACATACCTCCAGAACACAGAATACAGGTTTATTGCAGTCCTTTCAAAATACCAATAGCATTCCTCACAGACTCTGGACTATAATCCTAAAATTCATATGGAACAAGAAGACTTTAAAATTAATTTAAATTTTTAAATTTAAAAAAATTTTTTTAATTAAAAAAATTTAAAATTAAAAAAAAACCAATCCTGGACAAATAAGAGCAAAGCAGGAGGCATCCATTGTGTGTGAATAGACCACTTTCTTTATCCATTCATCTCTTGAAGGACACACAGGTTGCTTCCAGGATTTAGCTTTTATGAGCTGTACTGCTATAAGCATGGGTGTGCGTGGATCCCTGTAATATGATGCCTTTAGCTTTTGGGAATAGCTGGGTCAAGTGGAATTTCAATTTTTAGTTTTTTGTTAAGAAAATAAGTTAAGGTAGAAAGATCCGGCATTTTCAGTGAGTTGGAAATTAGTTGGCTTGACTTCCAGTCCCAAATTTACAGTTTATCATTTGTCTGACTTCAAATAATATCTGGATATCAATTCCACATATCAGACAGAATCAGACGTTACTGGGGAAGTGATAAATACATAGAGAAATAAGCTTTCTGGAGATACAAGTAGCACAAATGAAGTGGAAGGCTCAACTTAATTTTTTAAAGAGCAAACTGGGTGTCTACCATCAGCTGCACACTGTTCTAGCCATTTTGTTGGTATCAGTAATTCCATATGATCATGTTATGACATAAGCACTATTTTAATTCATTTTTTTACTTTTTTAACGTTTTAAAAAATTGTGCTAGTACATGTGTGTACTACATCATGTTTGCACTGCTTGTGGGGAGTTGAAATTCCTATCTGACCTGGCAAGTTGTTGTGCCTGGCATTGAAGACCACTCCTGCCTTCTCCGAGACCACACCCAGACATGCATATGACATTCTTGCTCTCAGTCTATCCCTCCACAAAGCTCTTTGCAGGTAAAGCTTTCTCAGATCACCGTTAAAATACACTGCACAGTCTGTGCTTCCCTACCATTGAAGCTGTTTTGAATCATTCCTGATTCTACAATGTGCTGTCTCCTCCATTAGGATGTCATTTTGTTTGTTTGTTTGTTTGTTTGTTTGATGCAAATACAAGGTACAGGGCAAAGCCCTGGGACCTCATGTTGGCATGGGGTAAATCTGCATTGAATGAAGAAGGAATCAGCGACAGAGACTCTCCAGAAGTATATGTTTATTTACCAAGCGTTCTCTATTGCAGAAACAACAGGGCTCATAGAGTCTTGGTGTGGGGATTCCAGCAAACCACTGTTTAGGGGGAGCCACCTCAAACATTCTGTAGCACTTCATCTATGGAGAGAAGAGGAAGAAAACAGGATGACTTGGGGTTTGCTAAGTAGTGAATATGATTCTAATATGGAGAGCAGGTTTTTCTAAAGGAAACCAAGTTGGCTCTGGTGAAGAATGGGCACCATCACATATTTGCCCTAAAATATTACACTTTTCTGATGAAAGAACCAGAGAGTTAGTGCTCTGCTCCCCACGTGTGCATTTCTGAGTTATCATGCAGTGTGAGGCCAACAATAAAAGCTCTAGACCACTTTGCATCTGGGAAGACTGGTTTGGAAAGCAAAGGGCAGGTGGAGGACCAAGGCTGCAAGTTGTTTACCTGTGCTGCAGGGGGCACTGTACTCAGCAAATGCTGCTTCACCTGAAAGACACAATGGTAACCTTGAAAACAGAAGTTTTGATGGGTTTTATAAAGAGCCTTTGACATATTCAGGCTGTGCCCTCTCTGCATCATTACCTGCATAACTGCTGAAGTCATCTCTTTGGGAAAGAGAAAGATAAGAAATGTCAAGGAAGTGCTGTTCTTGAGACCACTGGTGCAATGATCTCACACTGGGGGGAGGACTAAAGCCCACTCACTCTACTGTGGTCAAGCTAAGTCCTAGGAGGTCTCTCTAGGTATTCTTTTCCCCTTTTTCTACATGTGCTGCTTTTATCTTCATGACATCTCTGAGAGTTCTTAGTCTGAAAAAGTTGGTATATTCCTCCCCACTAATTAGAACAATACCTCCATGTAACCTCTTGTGAAAATTTTGCTTTCTTTCTTTGGTCTTCAGGGACCATAAGAGCTTTTAGTCCTTTCTCAACTCTAATTTCTTCTGTAATTCCTGCAATTTTCACAGTCTTACTGATTGCTCCTTTCTGCTATATTCTTAGGAAGATGTATGTATCCTCCTACCAATAAGCAGACATCCTGGAATATTTTGCATGACTGATAGACTTGTTGTAGGGGATTTGCAGTAGCTTTGTAGGCTACAGATGCAGAAATAAGGCATCCTTGATGGAGTAAGGTGAAGAGAGGATGTACAGTGTCGCCCACGCTCTTAATTCCTTAATTAGGAATTGAGTTTACTTGGAGTCCTTGGTCCCATCTTGCTCACCTGTCTCGTAGTAGTCATAGACCTTCACAAGAGCAGGTTTCAGGTTTCTTACAGGAATGTCTTGCACCACAGTGAAAGAAAAGCTCAGTGTCTCATTGGTAACCTGAGAAAGGAAAGAGCAAGAATCCGGAACCAGGGATTGATACAAGTGCTGATCAACCCCTGAGAATCCTTATCCTGTGTGTTGTTTTGTTCTGTTTTTTGTAGTACTGGGGATTGAACCCAGAGGCTTTTCAGGGAGCTGCATCCTGGCCCTTTCTCTTCTTTACTTTGTGACAGTTGCTAAATCACTAAATGTCCCAGGCTGGGCTGTAATGTGTGATCTTCCCGCCTCAGTCCAGAGTGCTGGGATTACAGGCATGGGCCCCCACACCTAGCTACTTCTTATCTTTAATCAGCAATTTTGAATATGGTTTCTGAGATTACCCAGCTTAGTTATTTTTTTAATGTTTACATGGAGTCAAGAAATACTCATGTTTCCATTTTAGTATAAATAAATCAGTAACACACTGACCTCCCACCAACCCTCTCATCTCTGACACCGCAAGTCCCAGGGAAGCCTGCAACGAGGAAAGAGACATTTAAAATGTCATCTAACATGAACAGAGGAGGAGGAGCTCTTCTAGGACCTTCTTTAGGACAGCTCATCTCACAGCACAGGCTCCCTGGGAAGACACCCACACGACAGGACCATCCACCCCGGAACATGTAGCAAGGCTGGCGGGGCCTCACCTGATCCACATAAATCAAGACCTTGCTGTTGCTCACTTCTGTCCTGCTCACGTGGTCAGATCTTTCAAGCTTAGGAAACAGGAGAAAAATCACTGATTTACTGTATAAATGCAGCCTTTGGGATACAGAGAGACAAATGGATGGTTTCATCCATTCACAAGGGTACAAAAAAAGAAGCTAAGATTAAGTTCCTTAAAATGAATTTGAAGTTCAGTAAGAATAACAACATACTCAAAGATTGTGAACACTTCAAATAAGATGGGAGACTGAATATTCACTTGACCAATGAGAATTTTTTGGCTTTTTTGTTTTCCTAAAAGTTGAAGTTATTCCTCTGACATTATCTATCATAATGTCTTTCCCCACTGATATCCATCAGCATTCTGTAAATTTTCACACTATTATTTTAAAGTATACACCGGCAGGAGGCGTGTGTCACACTGTTGTGGTATAAAAGGTCCACGGGGCGCGATGCTCACCACCTCACCCCCCTCCAGCCCACTGATCTCCGAGCACCAAGCACATGGACATGGGCAGAGCGATGGTGGCCAGGCTGGGGCTGGGGCTGCTGCTCCTGGCACAGCTCCTACCCACGCAGATTTACTCAAACCCAACAGCTGTGGGGTAACCTTCAAGCAACACCTCCCAGAACACCTCCACTACCCCAAGCCCAACTAATGCCACCACCAAGATGTCCACAGCCAGTCTCCCTGTGGTCTCCATCTCCCATCTACAACTGTACTGTTGGAGACTCTGGCCAAGAAACATTCCAACTTCCCCATCTTGTAAACCCAATGCAAATGGGGCGACTAGGAGTTCAGTGTGGCAAGGAAGAAATCTATTCCACACCTTACTTCAATGATGCAGAAAATGTTGAGAATTCCAAATTTGATTCATTTGAAGGACATGTGAAGGGACTGAAAGACAATGAATGTCAATATTAAACCTGCTGGAGTTTGTTGTTGCTGTTGTTGTTTTGTTTTTTGTACAAGATGAAGAGAGATAATAACATCCAAGATTAACCATGATTTCCTCAAATATGGCTTAAGAAATACTGACGCTTAAAACAATAATAGATTTTATCTAGAAATAAAAGATGGGAGGTAGAATGGAGATTCGGTTTTCATTGGGTTCATTAAATCTATGAGGCCATAAAAGTTAGATAATATAAAAAGCTTCCATGATGCTATTTGTACGTACATTAGAAGGAACTACCAGGTGTTAATCCATGTGTTGTTTCAACAGTACTAATTCAATGCTGATTTCCTCTAGATGAAGTTTCGCATTGTTGAGCTATCACTGTTTTCTTGGCAACTAAACTCTTTACCCTGCTCTCTGTGGCTCTGGATTTGACGTTACATTTGACTTTTTATTCAGTAACTGACATGTGCCAGGGCAACAGTGAACAGGAGCCCGCCCCCAAATCTAAGCATCGCAAGTAAATCTTACCTTTCCAAAGTGAAATGACAGGCATTTCCCACCACTCACTTTCATTCAACAAAAGCACCAGATCCATTTAGCTAAAACCCAAAGAGTAGAATTGTATGACCTCAACTGACTTTAAAATGCTGGCTTTTTATTTCTGTATAGGTTGAATACTTCTCACAATTAAAAACATAGTCTGTTTTTGTTGTTGTTGTTTTGTTTTTTTCTTTTCTTTTTGATATCAGGGATCGAACGCAGGACTTTGCACTTGCGAGGCAGGCAATGGCACCACTGAGCTAAACCCCAGCTATAGTCGGTTCTGAAGTTAAAATTACAAATCTTGAAATTAAAAAGGTAAATATGTGAAGGAGCCAAAACTAAATCCAGCATTTGGGAAGCTAAGATGAGAAGCTAACTTGCATAAGTGCGTAAAAATCTTTTATACTTTTTCTGTAAATGCTTTTTTTAAAACTACAGATCTCAGTAGACACATTTGTTATCAGTCAATATTTTTAGATAGATAGAACTGTCATATGCCTTGAGTTATGCCATCTTTTACAACTTCCTTGATACACAGAATCCTTTAAAAGAAAAACACAGACCCTGAACTCTTGTTCGCATGGTTGTGCACTGATGCTTACATGTTCCAGAGTCTAATTGGACCCCAAGAGTCTCTATGATCCAAGTCATTGCTTTTAGAAATCTGCATGGGAACAACCAGATAGAAAAGATCTGAAGATACTGTGTGTGTGGATGAACACTCTTTTTCTTCATATCTGGACACTGCACATCTGTTTGGATTGTATATTGTGTCTATGTATTTATGCTTTGAATCACAGTAACTCCTCGTGTTATGGAATTGATTTGCACTGGACACAAACTAAATAAAGAAATAAATGGCTGGAAAAAAATAAAGTATATACCAACAATTTTCTTGTTCTTTTCATGAATTGGGAGTTGACAGTTTCAGTTACCAGTTTTTAATAGTAACTAGAAGGTAGTTTCAATTAAAACAGTAACTTTCTTGGGTTGTTTTTTGTTTGTTTGTTTGTTTGTATTGGGACCTAGCACAGTGCTAAACTTAAACTTGGCACCACATAAACTACATTACCTTAGGTCAGGGCCAATGTGACTTTGATGCAGGATGCCATTACTAGATGGAGGATACAGAAAACCAAATATCTGGCACCCACTTACCATTTTCACTGTTGGTTTCAGTGGACTGAATCCAGATATCATTTTTACATCAGCAATCACCATGTTAGAGACCGGGCGTCTCCCTGTGTAGCTACCAATAAAAGGAAGGAAGGAAATGAGCTTCACTAGACTTTGAATCTTGCCTTCTTCTCGGCCTAAGTCACGACATCTTTAAGTAACCTCGCTAATTGCTGCCTTGCTCCCAGGGATCTGTCCATCCCTCGGAATGCACAGCCCTCACGGTCACAAGGCATAGCTCTGAGAAGTGCCCGCACGGTAGGACACTTGCAGAGTTCACCGCAAAGCCACCTGTCTGAGTACAGCAGAGGTGTAATGAACTACATTCCCGGGGTGGAACCTGGAAATTCTACACAAGATGCTAAGCAGATTGTTTTGGTTCATATTTGCGGTTCATGTAGTTTACAGTCATCTTGGGGAATGGTTACTTGTATATATCACAGCATGTTTCTTTCACTTTGTAATTCCCTTGCCTCCCCCTCCCTCCCTCCTCCTCCAGTTCACCTGTCCCATTTTTCATTCTTGTTGATGCTATTTGTCTATAATGGAATACTACTTAGCTATAAAGAAAGACTGATTTGTGACATTTGTAGGAAAATGGATGCATTTGGAAAATACAGGGCCGAATGAAATGAACCACACACATGGTTAAATACTGTATGGTGTCTCTCATAGTGTAGACAAAAAGTAAATGAAAAAAGATGGATAGAAGGGGATGAGGGGATGGATCTCTTGCAATAGGGAAGTGGTCCAAGGGAACAAAGGCAAGATTTGAAGAGGAGGGAAGGGGAAATAAAAATAATAAAGATAGCTGGGTGTGGTGGTGCACACCTGTAATCCCAGCACTCGGGAGGCTGAGGTAGGAGGATCGCTGTGAGTTCGAGACCAGCCTGGGCTACATAGTGAGCTCCAGATCAATCTCAACTACATAGTGAGACCCTGTCTCCAAAAAACAAAAAACAAAATAATAACAATAATAATAAAGATATGCCATGTTCAGAATCTTAATAGCCTCAATTAATGTCAACGTTATGTGCCATAACATGAGCTAAGGAGATTTTTTAAACTCTAGCATGTGCCACTTCATAACTTACATGTTTCAGATTAATGAGTGATCTCTTTCTGCATGTGATGACTATCTCCATAAGTGGACTATAAAATTTCTTTAGGTCAAAGACTGTATCTGCATTTATATTCTGCCTAATTAACACATCATGCTTTTGTGAAACACATCTAAATTATTTTGTCTATCGAGTATGAATCAAATTATGAATATTATTTTCTTTTTTCATCAAAAATCCGTTCAATTGTGTATTTATATCAGAAATCACTGCATATATTTTACCTAAAGCCTTTGAGGCGTGTTATTGAATAGTGAGTCTTTTTTCTCTAGAAAAATGGAATTGTAAAAGAGTACTTTACGGGTAAGAAGAGTGAGCCTATCTTGATGTATCACTGAAAGGAATGATTTCCTCTCTAACCACCAATGTGGGACTGAATCCTGCCAGCAGACAAAGCAGCGCTTACAACTCTACACATCACTGTCCACATTGGTAATGGAAGGTAAAAAGTGAAAGTGAAAACATTCAGTTTATGTATCTTCAAATCTACTTTCTGAAAAGGTTGAGGTGGTTAGTATTTTGAAAGCTAGGGAGCAGGGGCAGATTCTAACCTGAATTCTAGTGAAATCTGGAATCTCTTGTGGGCTTCGGGACCGTCACAAGTCTGGGGTATTGTTTGCACTTGGAGAGCGAAGCCAGATTCTTCCTTCTCTGAGAACACATTGTATTTCAAAGCTGTCTGTTGAATTAAAGAATGGAAATGGTTGTCTCCAGATCAAAGGAACCCTCAGTCTGTCGCCGTGCACGTTCCCTGACTTGCCCTTTACTCGTAGAGGTAGGAATAGGTATGGGGTCACCGCTGAATCTGCCCAACTTGCCGCAGAAATCTTACCTGAGTGAACACGCAGCCTCCCCCTGACACATTTATTTCGTACTCCCCTGGAATGTTTGGCAGTGGGACCTGCTGCAGTAATAGATGATTACTGTTATCCACTTGGAATTTTGTGGAAAACGCCCCCGAAGACTGGATTGTCACCAAAGATGTTTTCCCGGTTCCGGCAAAAGTAGCGGCTCCATATCTGGACAGAGCATGGAGAGCTACCACTGTGTCCTGGAAGAGATGAATGTGAAAGCTGAAGAAGAGAGCATCCAGAGTTAGGGGCTTGGATTCTTCCCAAAGCCCAAAGCCCATTTTTGGTATTACAAAGGTATGTGAGGTTCTGTTCCTATTACATGAACTCTGGATTTGAATTCAAAGACTGACGTTAATTTATGATACATCTGATAATCAAAATTTCTACTGCTGCCCATGATTTTTCACTCTTTTCAATGATTTTTTTTTCACTCTCTCGTTGGTAGAGGACGTACTCTGTGCCCCCAAAGGATCTCTCCCATTACATCCCTTCTTCTTTTCCATTACAGATGGATTTTGATGCTCTCCTTTGGACAAAAGAACTCAAAATAGACTAAAACAAGCACGCAGACAGCGTCTTCATATCATGATTATCCATTTCAAAGGAAAGACCAAGATAACTGGATTACATAGCAGAATGGTACAGAAAATAAACATTTCCTCTGTGCTCACTCAGTTTGAGAGATCACCTCTAGGATTCTAGACATTTCAGAATTTTTGCCCCTGTTCATAAATTAGGATTTGCTTCCTCGCTAAAGGGTCTCAGTGGTGCAACCCTGCTTTCATAGGTGACTAATGTATAAAGAAAACCCTAGAACTCCAGCATAGGCACGAGGAAAACCACGGGGAAAGGGAATGTTTGGAGCTCTTTTCTCATTTTCTGCACTCAAAATGATCTTAAGTGACCTTTCCTGGATCCTTTCTGTCCTCTTCTCTCTTGCTCTTTCCCATATTACTATTCATCTCTCGTCTTGACCTCTCACCAAACTCTGACTCCAAAGGATGAAAGCTGAAGGAACCCACCCACCTGGGTGGAGGAGAAGCCACCGTAGGAGTTCTGTTGCTTTGTGATCCATTTCACAATTCGCGCTGCAGAAGTCAGGTCCGCTGGGGTCGGGGCTGTCTGGGCTGTGAGGAGAGCTAGGAGCACGTAGGCCGTCATCTCCACCTCGGCAGGGGGCGCCCGGGGTTGGTACAAATGTCCCTCTGGTTCCCTGGGTTTCTGAGGTCTCTCCCAGTGAACTGAGTTATCTTCAGGATAAGAACAAAGGAATAATTAAAATATGACTATATATATAAAAAGCTGGAGTAGCTTTTACTAATCCAGGGTAAAAAATTGAGCTTATTTTCTGTGGATGAGGAAAATAATGAGGATAGAAGTTCTTAAGGTATCAACTGAGTCATTTTCTCAAATGTCATTCTAGTAGAATCGGTGAGGAGAATGTGGCATGATTTCTCACTGGTTCGCCCCCTCTCTTCCAATCAAGTTTTCTGTTCAGTGTTTAGCTGAAATGAAAGAGGGAACTTACCAGCTTCAATGTCATAATAAAAATAGTAAAACACAGAAGCTACGGCAATGGATTTTAGTCCCTTTCCTATGGTACTTAGCGGCTTTTATTCATCTTGATATCTAGGTCAGTCATACAGGAAAGTATGTCGACTATGTTGTCTTTGTAAAGAGGTTGAAATACCTGAGTTTTCCTGTCATACTGCTTGTCTCAGCTTTGTCCTCTGTATGACAATAAAGGAGGGATGTGAATTTGATTGTCTTGAGAGCCACCTAAGGAATTAGAAAGGCACCTTCTGGCTGGGTCTGTGCAGGCCACAGAGGTGTGACGCTGCTCCTGACCTGATCCCTGACCCGTTCCTGTCTGGTTTCTCTGCTCCCTGCTCTGCATCCTGGCTGCTGCAGTAGCTGAGGACCTTCACTCTACCACGCCTTTGTACCCTGGTGTTTCTGCCCGGTCTGCTGACCGCCGACTGAGCACCCCAGAGCTGTGGGCCAGACCAAAGCTCTTCTCCTCGAAGTTGCAGGTTTCGTGTATATTGTAGCAGGGACAGGACGGCTAATACACTACATAACAAAAGATTTCTGGGGAAGTGTGGGTATAAAAGGACCACTCATCTGGGAATGGGATGAGTTGTCATAGAAATCTCAGTGTTTCATAGTGGAGCAAGTCAAAAAGGAAAGTTATTTTCAGGAATTCATTTCCCCTTTGCAATCCACTGGAAATGAACGGAGAGAAAAATCTTGACAAACATGCTCACCTTCTTCCACAGCTTCCTCGTTGAGTGATTTCATTATCTCCCTCTTCTTCTCCTGGTTCCCCGCCAGGGCAAATGCGTACGCCAAGAGTGCCTTGGTGTAGACATGGCTACCGTTGGTCCCCTCCTTTGTTGTTTCCCAGGCTGAATTCATGCAGATCAGTGCTTTGCTGACAACAGGGTGCTATGAGGAAGAACAGTACCAGTGCCTTTCCAAGCTGTCTCTCTACCCATCTATCTGTCCACCCATCCATCTATTCTTTCACCACCTTTTTCTAAAACACACTTTTTAAAAAGGTTATTTTCTAATTAAAATATAAACTAACAAGGAGTGGATTAGATACTGTGTGTTTTGGATTAATTTTGGAATAGGATCTAGGTTTTTTTGGACAAGTATATTCTTCTTGTCAGAAACTAGCAAATGTGCAGCACTGTGCAAAATGAAAGCTGCCATTTAGCATCTCAAGGCGCGATATAGCCACAGGTCAGCAGGTTTCACAGCAGTCTGGCCAGCAGGAGCAACACCGTGGTACCTACAGTGGCAGGCAGTGGGATCTCCAGAAGGGCAATGGTGATGTAGGCAGAGAGGGTCACCTCATCATCTACTCCACCCTATAAACGCAAGAGATGAAAATGAGATGAATCCCACTTCTGGAAGCCCTGTAAAGATGGGCCAATCTCTTCTCTTCTATGGTTCCTTAGAAGTTCTTCTCATGCAAACCCCCACTACACAAAGTCCAGTCCCAGCCCAGGTTCCATGTGTTCCTCCCCTCCGGTGAGTGGTTTTATTCTCCCACCTGCGTCCTCCCGTGCTACCCAGTCCCTTCTTCTTACATATCTCTATCCTTAGGAAAACTGTCACAACTGACTGAGCCACAGGGTCACAAGGGAGGTCACCTTCAGGTCATTGTGGAACAGTGTCCCAGAGCTCCTGAAACAGCCACTGTGCTTCTGCCTCCGGGAGAGCCAGGTCAAGGCGTGGGTAACGTGGGTTTCGTCAATGAAAATGAAGGCCCGAGCTTGGGCGAAGGTCTTGAGTACAAAGGCTGTGAGCCTGATGCGAAGAAGAATGGGATGTGAGCCACTGGCTTTCGAGCAGCACCCCCACCCCCTGTGCAGAGGCTTCCTGAGGGCCCCAGTGCTCGCTTGCGAGTCAGTATGAGGGTTTCTGCACGCTCACAGCTGGGGGGCTGCACTACCAAGAGAATTCAACCTCCACCTGGTTTGCTTCCTCAATGCCTTGGATGTTCAGGCTTTGCTTTGCTTACTTGGGTGGTTGATTAAGATGTTTCCACTCCCTTGCTGAGGTATTTCCCCTTCACTGACTTCCTTATGTAGATTTTTTTAAAAAATCTCAAACCTCCTATTACATGCACTAGCATTCTGTCAAGGTTTTCTGCTCCCAAAACTAAATTTCCCTTCATCCCATTGGCATCTGTCCTGCTCTTTCCACCAGACTCCTTCGCATTCTGCTATTTGTCTGTGCATTTTCCTTAGAAAAGGTGTTATTTAACATAAGGTTGTGGAGAGAATGGCCACGGCTTTTTCAGCCTCCGGTTCCAGCATCTCTGGATGCTGGAAACAACTTCAGTAGCCCAGAGTTTTATTTATGATGGGTCCTTGAGAGAAATGAGACAGCTTTGGTGACTTATTGAATAAAAACCGTGTTTGGGAGTCAGAGCAATAAACCTTGGGGAAGGCTTAGCCTAGCTGCTTACTATTTGTGCCATGGAGAGATGTTAACAGCACCACGTAACAGTTTCCACTTTTGTAAAATGAGGCTCGTAAGATCTCAGGTGGGGCTGTCATCCAGTGTGAGTATTGTACAGAGCCTGGCACTCAGTGCCCTTTTCTTACCATGTGTTGCCTTCAATCTTGCCTTGTTGATGCCCAAAGGCACTGTAGGAGCCATCGGGGTGTTTGTAGTTCAGCTCTCTCTGATAACCTGAGGTGAAAGGTCTCGGGTGATTCAGGAGGCATCAGTGATGCCCCAGAGACAGACAGGCTTCCCACATGCACACAGAGACCACCAACACCTCTGACTTCTCCCACATGCAGAACCTCCAAGATGGCAGCTCTTCTTCCCCACTGAATGGCAACCCTGAGTGAGGAGAGAAAGTTTGCAACAACAAGAAGTTCTGTCCCTACTCACCAGCATTGAGATAGCCGATGGCCTCGGACTTGATCTCCTGGGTCAGCTGCTGGGTTTCATTCAGATATTTCAGTATGTAGATGTTAGGAGCAAACAGGATCATGTTCTGCTCTCCACAGCCGTAAGGCATCTGGAGGAGGTCTTGTATATTTTTTATGGAAGAACTTAATATATCACCTGGAAATGAGACATCAGAACAACCACTGTCACCAAGAACCAATGATATTATATTTATGATGTTTATATCTGAAAAAATAGCTGATGTGGAAGAATTGTAAGGTGATTGGAGGGTCAAACACGCTGGAAACCAAGTGGGTATTGAAGGAGAAAGAAATGTGAGAAGGAAGTTAAAGAGCTGAAGTGCAGTTAAAAACTGCTTGTTAAAAAAAATAAATGAAAGTGGTGGTGTGGAAGATAGCACCTTGGGATATTGTCTCGAGAGGCTCAATAACTCACCAAAAACAGAGAAATAAGCTCTGGCCGAATCGTTCACCAATCTTGGTGGGAGCTTCAGGGATAACTTCTCAGATTTCCCAGCATCTTGATAAACAAATAAAATACAGAGACATTTACCTTTGATGTCTATATTTTTTTTAAAATCCTACGGTTAGTGGTTACAGACAGACATCTCCAACTGATTAGCTACCTCCTTAGAAAACACTCTTGATTTTAATATTCCAAATTCACATTTCCTGGTACTGAGTGGCTTGCCAGGCTATCTCTTCCTCTTTTATTATCCATCACACTGAACACCTCAGGGGCTGTTCAAAAGGAGGCTCTGAGTTTCTGAGGTGTATGATTACCTTCTTTTACTGGGGTCTTCTTAAAATGCTGTATAGACTTATGAAAATAATGGGTTTTTTCTCAAAGTGTAGTTTGTATATGAACAGACACTCAACATGTCAGAATAAGTAAAAGAATAAACCAAATATAGCTTCTTGCCTTCTGGGACCACCTCTCTCTTGCCATGATCATTAGCTACTCAGGGATATTCCTTTCATGGGAGTCCTTGCCTTGGATGTTGCAAAGCAGGCATGGTTAGATTAGAGTCCAATGATGATGTACCAGGAAAAGAAGAAGTGACCAGTGGCAAGGTATTTCTTCTGTTTTTCTACTTGAAGCTATTTCAAAAATAAATCTAGTTCATCTCTAGTGACCTACTTCACACCTTCCACCTTTCAATAACTGCGAGATCACTTAAGACTTTCAATAACTGTAAGATCATTTTTCCAAATGTGCCTTGCACTACTAGGAATTGGTCACTTTTGGCAAAAATCATTTACTTTATCTCATCTATACCTTGTTAAGTTTCTTGTAATATTGGATTTTGGATCATTAGTTTACTTTTAAAACTTTATTTAAAATTATTAATTCTTTAAACAACTATACATTGAAAAATATACATCTCATGCCAGGCACTATTCTAGGTCCTGGAAATGTTGCTGTGAGCAAGAGGAGACACAATCTGCACTGAGTTTTCTGTTCTGCTGTTTGTTTCTTTTCTTGTTTTTCTGGGTTTGTTTTTTTATTTTGTTTTGTCTTGTCTTGTTTGCTAATGGTACCAGGGATTGACTGAAACCAGGGCTTTCACACTGAGCTACATGCCTAATTCCTTTTTATGAGACACAATCTTGCTAAGGTGCTAAATTGCCCAGGCTGGGCTTGAACTTTTGATCTTGCTGCCTCCACCTCACAGAGTGCTGAGACTACAAGTGTGAGCCACACATGCTTTTCTTAAGTTCACACCTAGTAGAAGACCAGATTTCTTTTCTTTTCTTTCTTTTCTTTTCTTTGTGGGGGCACCAGGGATCAAACTCAGGATCTTGCACTTGTGAGGCAGGCGCTGTGCCACTGAGCTAAATCCCTGGCCCAACCAGATTTATCTTGTACGATAAATGCCTATAGCCCCTTCACAAATGGTCATCGAGGAGCATGTATACAGTGGTTAAAAAGCAATTAATGTCACAATGGCAGAAAAATACTATGGTAAATATATGTTTCCATGATTTGTTATAGTATATATAGGAAATTTTCCTGGCCATAAAAAGGTAATATTTACATAAGCTGTAAGACTAGAAGCACATATTCCTTTACTAAATATTCACAGATTGTTCCCATTACTTCAGGTACATTTTGATTCTGAACTCTACCTAGCTTTTCCTAAGCTACTCACTTTCTCAGCTTTCATGTGTGCTCCATGAAAAGGTTCCTGTATTCTAAATAAAAGAGCTCCTCTGAGGGGCTGAGACGTCCCATGTCCCATTTGTGGCTCCGATAGCTCTGCTGGGATAACTGATAATCTTGACACTCTATAAGACCCAAATTCTTTTTTTATTTCATGGACATAAGGTACAGTGTCTGGATTTCCTGATTAGAATATTGCAAAATATCACTGAGGTGATTTACGTGAGAAAAGTTATTGTAATTTAAAGTGCTATTATCTGTGTGTTGGCCTTTTGAATGACTCTTACCTGAGGCACACAGAAGTGAGTTGAAGGTATATTCTTTCTTGATTCCTTCAGGCTTGGAAGGGAAAAGGGAAAATTCAGAGATGAGAAGATGTGGAGCATCAGGGCACAAAAATAATAATAATGCAAGTTTTGAGAGGGTTTCATACCCTCTTTATTTGTACCTTGTGTTAGATGATTTCTAATTTCTTTACATTTAGAATGGGCATAATGTTTGAGAAATCTGGGCCACCCCAGGTGGAAAAAAGAAGGTATTGAAAGGATATTTAAGAAGAAAGATAGAAAACTATGACAGGAACAGAGAAAGATTTGTTCCAAAGAAAAGATATTGGTACAAGGCCAGGCAAGGTCGTACATGCCTATAATCCCAGCACTGTGGGAGCCAGAGGCAGGAGGATTACAGGTACCACTCGACCAGGTCAATTTGATGATTTAGTAAGACCCAGTCTGAAAATAAACAAGAAAAAGAGGGCTGAGACAAAGCCCAGGAGGAAGGCCCTGAGTTCAATCCCCAGTTCCAAAGAAACTGTTCCAGAATATGCCCAGTCCAACTGTTAGCTAATAAGAAAACAGCTGAAAAGCAAGTAGGAAAAAACAAAACACCTTCACTCTCCTAGTACTAAGGTATGAATTCCCATATGCTATGAGATGCCCTGAGCTCAGGTATTATTCTTATAACTCAGGTATTATAAGTGACCTGATTATGATCATGCTCTGAGTAACACACCTGGGAGACATGTTTAAGCAGGCAGGTGAGCAAGTGGCACAGTCATTTGAGGTCAAAGTTTCTGAGATATCTGGTACTCAGTGGTATAGATACTGTGTTGGCAGCTGTGTGGGGCCATATTTTTGTTTCATTTTTTACTAGAACCTATTTGCAGTGCAAACGATTGTATTCATCATAGGGAGTCAGTACCTGTACATAACGCACTATAATTCTCTGTACTTCCTTTTTCCCTCCTCTTCCACCCTCCTCTCTCCCAACTCTTGGTCCCTTCCCATTTGCAAAAGACCTAGATCTCTGTGCAGATTGGTGCAACCACTGTGAAAATCAGTATGGAGAAACCTCAAAAAACTAGGATTAGAGGTCCCATTTAACCCAGCCATCCCTCTGCTGGGTATCTTTCCAAAAGAATCAAAAGACTCATACCATAGCGATATACGCACACTCATGTTTATAGTGGCACAGTTCATAATACCTAAAGCTTGGAAGCAGCCCAATTGCCCATGAGCTGGAGACTGGATGAAGAAGATGTGAGTTTTTATAAAACGGAGTACTACTCAGCCATAAAGTACGAGAAACTAGCCGGGTATAGTGGCACATGCCTGTAATCCCAGCACTTGGGAGGCTGAGACAGGAGGATTACTGTGAGTTCAAGACCAGCCTGGGCTGCATAGTGAGTTCCAGGTCAGTCTCAACTGTATAGAGACCCTGTCTCAAAAAAAACAAAAACAAACAAACAAATAAAAAAAGAATGAGAAACTAGAGATTATTTATAGCTAAGTGGATGTACATTAAGGCCATCCTCTTAAGTGAAATACATAGGACACACATGTGTAAATACCAAATAGTTTCTCTGGTGTGAGAAACTAAAAGTGCAAATAACTATCAAAATGTATAATAGATAATGTGAAATAGGAAGGGTCTAAAGGGGAAGGGAAAGTAGGAGGAGTAGAGGAGAGAAGAGAAGAGAAAATATGAGAAAAGGGAAAAATGGAAACAAAGTCTTTGTAAATAGGGAGGGTGGAGGGGGTGAAGAGAGGGCAGGGGAATGGGAAAAAATAAGACCCAAGATACATCATATAAAGGTACAAGTTCCCAGTGATGAATGTAACTGTACTATGTACCTAAAATGCACCAAAAAAACCTAGCTCCCTGTTTCTTATTATCCATCTTTTATTGTGCTCTTTAAATTCTTTTTAAATCAAAGATATTAGACAGCCTGGACTCAGTCTCACGATCGGACAAGTCAGACTCACTCACCTCAACTAACAGGCCTTTGACAACGGTGTCTTTCTTCCCGGCTTCAGGGACCTTAGCTGCCTCACAGAGACCTGGGGACTGTCGCATTTCCGCACTCACAGAGAAATTCATAGTCCCTGAAACAAACAGCTCACAGATTTGAGCTGGGATGTGCAGGGGCTGGATGTCCTCTAATTAACTCCCGGGACCCACAAAGAATCCTGAGTTCTGTGGGCCGTTCAGGGCTCATGTAAGAATCTGGCAAGTGCAGGGTCAGAAGCGGCATGGACTGGCATTCTCTCCTGGGGCCCAAGGTGGAGTAGCTCATTCAGGGACCACGAGAGTGGCTTCGGGGCCCTCCCACTCACCCAGCGATTTGGGGGTCACCAGCCAGGACACGGTCTGCCTCCCATTCGCGCACACGCAGTAAGAATCTTGGTCTCCTGCTACGGGGACAGCTGTGAAGTCAGGAGAGGCCTCCAGCTGCACACTCACCTGTTGCCCACACGGGGCAGAGAAATCAACATGACTTTGGAAGGGCAACTCGAGGACACAAGTGGGGAGCCAAGGGCAAGAGCCTGGGAGGAATTGGGTGTTAAAAGGGGACTGGAAGGAGAACTTGTAGAAAGCACAGAGTTGAAGACGCTACATAAGCTGACCATGTTTTTATAACAAGCTGTACAAACTTCCTGCAGGATACCAATTATATACATAAATAAATAAATATATATATGTGTGTGTGTGTGTGTGTGTGTGTGTGTGTGCGCAAACCTATATAGTGATAAATACGTATCTGTTTGTATTTATGTGTTTTATTTTGGTGTCAGTAATAGGGGACAAGGAAAGACAACAAAGCATGCTGTCCCCAGGACATTGACCTACGGGCTTAGGTCCCTAAGAATTCTCCCAGGTTTCTGTTCGGTTACAGTGTGGCTGAAGTTACTTCCTTCTCTTTTTTTATCTATGCACTCCTCCGTCTACTGGGTTGAAAACATAGTCAAGCTTTAGGCGCATGAGGCACTTCTAGGCTCTAAGTGGCTCCTGTCCTCAAGAAGTTTTTCATTGCTGGACACTTTAGATGCCCAGGAAAAAGAATTCTGTCATATACAGGTCAGTGACTTTACAGAAAATCCACACAATGGAACTGAATGGCAGTGGCTTGTGTCACGTTTAGTCATACAGCCTAGTTTATAATAAATTGGCTTTTTAGGGGGTCTTTTGTAAACTTTTACAAAGTTGAGATCTGGAGCCCGTAAGCTTCAGTTTTACAACTAGTGCTTTTATGTATTTGGGGAGAGAAAAAAAAAGCTCATTACGTCCCTTCCAACTTAGGCCTTGGTTATTATCGGAGTGGGTGGTAGAACACAGGCCTTTATGTTAACGTTTAGTTCAGAGAGACTGCACCCACGATGGCGATTCCGTGAGACATCACCAGCCCGCAGCTTTCTTACCGCTTGGCGATACTGTGACCATTACAAAGTGATAAGAACACATTGCACGTGTGTTTGTGCTGATGCTGGTGGAGATAAACCTTCTGCGGGGCGGGTTTTGATACAGTGTACAAGAATAACATAGGTGCATACGTGCACAATTCTTGGTAAGGACAACAAATGACTACGCAGTATTACGGTGTAGGAACTTCCAATACATTTTTATCTTTAAGTTAAACTGTACTCCTCTTTCTATTTTTTTAAGTCCTCTGTAAAGCAGGATGTTGTGTTTCTCCAGCCATAAGCTCATACATCTTGTGCCTGCTGCATCGGAAGGCCGCACAGGGTAGCTGACCTTGCCATCGAGGTTAAAGGACACCGTGGGGTTGCAATGATGACAGAAATCTAACAACACAGTCCTCAGAACACACCTCCATCACACAGTGGCACGTTACCGAACAAGTGCAGCTGCAGAAGGAATCGCGCGTGGATCTGGAGAACGTGTTAGTGAGCTAAATGCTGCTTTTCCTTCCCCTTTACTTTTAAAATTTAAATTGTTTTGATCCACCAGGAACAACTGGCCTTCTCCCCTTCCGGCCACGCTTCTTGGGCGTGGTCCCCTTACCCCGATGCAGTCGGGCAGGTAGCTCAGCATGGTAGCCCTGAGCGTGAAGGCCTCCCCACGGACCACGGAGTAAGGCATCGTGAGCTCCACGAAGAAGGGCTGGAAGGCGCGGAGGGAGGCGGTGCGGGAAAGGCCGAGTCCCACGTCCGGGGACAGGCAGAGGGCCCCGGCCTTCCACTCGGTGATGGTGTCTGGGACCGTGACTCCGACTTCGGCCACGCCCGAAGAGCTGGGAGGGACGATGCGAGGGGCAGAAAGCAGTCTGGTGAGCTGGTTACAGCGAGACGGTTCACTGATAAGCATGACCCAGTGCCAGGCTTCTGAGCCCCCTCCAGAGTTATAGAAACGAGCTATGCAATCAGGGGTCAAGATAGAAAAACAAGGCCTCTTGATAGTTCTAGTGGTCCGGCTATTGTGGTCACACTTCTCACACCACCTCAAATCCTGTGCCACCGCTAGAAATCTGAATAGGGATCGGAAATTGTCACTGAACTCCTCTCTCTCAAATACTATCGCACAATCTTATAAATTACAGTCCAAATGGTTGGCACTATGTGAGACTGCCTCCAATATAATTATAATTATCACATTCACTTTCTGGGATTGACAAGAATACAAATATTTATAGTTGGCGGCTTAACTTAATTAGGCCAGGGTCTTTTAAACTACCCTTTCTTTCCTTTCACTAGATAAATTCACAGGAAAAATGGGTGCACATAATGAAATAATGCTTTTGTACCCAAAGCAGATCATGCAAATGGAGATTACTTACTTCACCAGTACCAGGTCCCAGATCCACGTCTCTGGAAAGTACTTTCGCACAGTCTCAGTGAGTGGCTTTTTATACAGTTCCACAGAAGTCTCAAGCTGGGGTAACATAAATGGCACTGTGAATTTTACAATGAAAGAAAAGAAAATATTTCTCTGAGACTATTTGCATTACCATATGGTATATACACGTCTTCTTCACTTGCTGACGTTACAGTATTAAGAAAACTGCACAGGAAACTATGTGTTCAGCTATCCATTTTGGGGGTAAAATCTCTGTCAAAAGTAGAAACTGAAATCCTTGAGAAAGCAGATCCTGGTGTAGGTGGAGCTGGAAGGAAAAATAAAGTCTATTTACTTGGGTGGGGAAGACAGGAGCACTTCCAAAATGAAAGCAGGGCTTGCGTATCTTTCCAAAGGAATTAGAAGAATCATAACGCAGCAATATATGCTCACTCATGTTTACAGCAGCACAGTTTACAATAGCTACAACTTGGATACAGCCCAGTTGCCCATCAACTGGAGACTGGATAAAGAAGATGTGATTTTTTTTTAATAAAATGGAGTACTACTCAGCCATAAAGAATGAGAAGCTAGAGATATTTACAGCTAAGTGGATGCACACTGAGACCATACTCTTAAGTGAAATTAATAAGTCACATATGTGTAAATACCAAATAGCTTCTCTGGTGTGAAAAACTGAAAGTGTAAATAGGGATCAAAATGTATAGCTGATATTGTGTCATAGGAAGAAAAGGTCTAAAAGAGTAGAGGAAGTGGGACGGGTAAGGGAAAGGTAAAAAGAGAGAAGAAAAGATATGTAAAAAGGAAAAACATGAAAACAATGTCTTTGTAAATGGAAGGGTAGAGGGGCTGAAGAGAGGGCAGAAGAATGGGGAAAAATAAGAACCAAGATGAGTTATGTGAAGATATAAGATCTCAATGATGAATGTAACTGTATTGTATACCTAAAATGTACCAATAAACTTAATAAAGATTTTTTTAAAAAACAAAATGAAAGTAGGGCTTTCATCTCAGAGGGAAGGATAAACATAACACTGCCTTTCAAAAGGAACCATGTGTCTGTAGTGTAAATAGTTTGTGTTTCTAATGACCAGAGCCAGGCAATGTCAACATTATAAATTGAGAGGGTCTTCTTATATTTATCTTCTATAGACATATTGTATCAAACTTGGTCTTTTAACTTCTCTGTACAGTTAGTATAAGGGAAAAATACAAACTGAACCAAAAAGCCACACACCTATGCACAAAATCCCTAATAAGTACATATCTTTGGAGAAGCAAAGAGTATAAGCAAGAATCATAATACTGTCTTGGGTTTCTACTGGCAGGCAATGAAAATCAGGACCATCAACAGGAGTTCTGCGACCTGCATTTTCTTAAAACATTTTCATACACAGATTCAGAGTTGAGGTGCTGCCTTCATGGACTAACTTATTTTCAGAAATAATTTGTGGTGAGCAGATGCAATCAAGAAGCTCCTCCCAGAGACTGTCTCCCCCTGTTATTCATTTGGAAGTTTCTGCATTTATACAGCTTTGTTTCTCCAGTTCCTTTCCTATGATGGGCACCGAGCTTTTAACTTGCTTCTCTTACTTTCCATTTGACTTCCACGCTCAATGTTTTCTAGCATCTCAATTCTCCACTCAGTAGCTTCAACATCTAAGCAATGCCATGTATTCATTAGTTAGAGGGAGTGTAGTGCCTAAGGCTGCTGCCTCTTCTAGGAAATCTTAAAAATATTCCATGCCATGGAAACGGAAAAAAGCAGGAGCAGCTATCCCAATTTCAAACAAGCTGACCAGAGGAGGCAAAGAAGGTTACTACATACAGGTTGAGGGAACAATTCAGGAACAGATAACAATTATAAACAAAACTCACCAAATACTAGTGCACTCAAATATTACTGGACATGATTATCAACACTGTTAAGGGAGGGACCTCAATATCCCATTGTCACAAATTGATAACTGAATAAAAAAATCAAGGGCCGGGGATTTAGCTCAGTGGTGCTGCCACCTGGCCTACAAGCACAAGGTCTAGAGTTCGATTTCCAGTACCAAAAAAAAAAAAAAAAAAAAAAAAAAAAAAAAAAAAAAAAAAAAAAAAATCAAGAAATATGAGAGCTGACCCAACTCTTTAGTATATGTGCTGCTGAAGTGAGCACAGACCCAACTCTTTAAACAAATGAACTTAACAGATATCTACAGATTATTCCACCCAAAAAAACAACAGAATACACATTCTTCTCAGCAGCATATGGAACTTTCTACAAAATAGACCACATGCTAGCTCATAAAGCATGCTTAAGTAAATGCAAAATAATCTATAACTATCCCATGTAAATTATCAGGTGACAGTGCAAAAAGACTAGAAGTCAATGGCAAAAGCAAATACAGAAATTAAGCAAACAAATGGAAATCAAACAATACCCTCTTGGATAATCAGTGTGTCACAAAATTAGACAATTCCCAGAATAAAATGATAATGCTACTATGATATACCAAAACCTATGGGGTACAATGAAAGCCATCTGCTTAGGGAAGTTTATAACAATGAACATTCATATTCAGAAGAGCAAAGAAAGTCAAAATAAATAATCTAATGATACAATTCACGGTCCTACATAAATAAGAACAATCCAAATTCAAAGCTAATGCAGTGAAGAAAGTTATAAAGATCAGAGCAGAAATTAATGCAACCGAGATTAAAAAATAAATATAAAGAATTAATTGAAGGGCTGATTCACAGAAAGAATAAACTAAACAGACAAACCACTGGCCAAACTTACAAAGAAAAGGAAAGAAAGGATCTGGGTTGATACAGGGATAAATTTAAACAGCAAGTTCAAAATTCACTCTGCTGAAATCCAGAAGATTATTAGTAACTATTTTGAGACCCTGTTCTCCAATATATAGAATTCTGAAGAAACTGATCGATTCATAAATACATATAAATTACCAAAACTGAACCAAGAATTTACAAAAATCTTGAATAATCCAATTATAAGCAATGATTGAAGAAGTGATTTTTTAAAAAACTAGTAAGGGCCAGGAATTTAGCTCAGTGGTTCCGCCGCCCTCCTCACAAGTGCAAGGTCCTGAGTTGAATCCCCAGTACCAAAAAAAAAACAAAACAAAACAAAAACTACTAACTAAGAAAAGTCCAGTACCCAATGGATTCACTGTTGAACTCTACAAGAATATTAGGGAAGATCTAATGCCAATATTCCGCAAACACTTTAAAAAAATTGAAAGGGAAGAAGTACTCCCAAAGTTATTCCTAAAAGCTAGCATTACCCTGATTTGAAAACCAGAAAAGGATTCAACCAAGAATGAGAACTATAAGCCAATTTCTTTAATGAACATATATGCAAAAATCTCAACAAAACACTGGAAAACAGAACACAACAAATCATCAAAAACATCATACACCATGACCAAGTAAGATTCATCCCAGGGATGCAGGGATGGTTGAACACATGCAAAGTGATAAATGTAATTCATTACATGAACAAAAACAAGGACAGAAATCACCTGATCTTCTCAATAGATGCAGAAAAGCCTTTGAAATATCAAATACCATTCATGATAAAAATCCTGAAGAAATAGGCATAGAAATAGCTTTCATCTCAACCTGATAGAAGCCATTTACAACAAGCCAATGGCCAACATCGTATTAAATGGAGAAAAGTTGAAAGCTTTCCCCTTGAAATCAGGAACAAAACAAGGATGCCTACTATAACCACACTTATACAATATAGTTCTAAAAACATTAACTAGAGCAATCAGGCAAGATAAAGAAAAGGGATAAGTATAAGAAAAAAGTCATTTTATCATTATTTGCAAATCACATGATCCTCTACATATAAGACCCAAAAACTCCATAAAACTACTCCTATAATTAATAACCAAATTCAGTAGTACAGTAGGATACAATGTCAACACAAAAAAATTAACAGTGCCCCTGTACACTAGTAATGAACTCACTTAGAAATTAGGATATCATTACCATTCATAATAGCATCAAGAAAAATTAAATAGTTCAGAATTAACCTAACCAAGGATGTAAAGACCTCTATAATTAAAACTACAGTACTCTGGCAAAGGAGATCAATGAGAACATCAGAAAATGGGACGCTATCCCCTGTTCCTAGATAGGCAGAATCAATACAGTCAAAATGGCCATATCTCCAAAAGTAATATACAAATTTAACACAATCCCATTTAAAATAACAATACAATTGCTCACATAACTAGATAAAACAATCCTAAAATTAGTATAGAACCAGAAGAGACCCAGAAAGAACAAACGCAATATTGGGCAACAAGAACAAGACAGGAGGAATCACAATACCAGACTTCAAGTTATACTACAAAGCTACAATGATAAAAACAGCATGATACTGGGGGGAAAGAAACAGACATGTGGATCAATAGAACAGAATAGGGAATGCAGAAACATTGCCTGGCACATCCAGCTAGCTACCTGACCTTTGACAAAGGGATCAAAAAAGTATGTTGAAGGAATGAGAGTCCCTTAAACTTACTTTTGTTAAGCAGCAATAAAATGTATATATCAAACAAATTCTGATAAATTGAATATTGAGTTTCCTGTATTGAATATCATTCACTCTGAATTTCAGTCCTATTATTTTTTCCTTTATTTTTTATCCTGGAACGTAACTCTGTGTCTGTCCTTGTGATCAATGATTTTAAGAATCATATGTCCAAAACCTGCAGCATCTTCTGTTAATAATGAATTTTATAAAATTATAGTTGGAAGTACTGTTTTGAAACTAAAGTGGATGTGCAATGAGTTCATAGACTAGACCTGCAATGTTGCTCAGATGTCAAAGACTTTAGGAAACAATTCTTTCAGGAATCATTATCTGGGAAATATCTTGAGAGCTTGTTTGGAGATTCTAGCAGAGTGCAGCTACTCACATACCTTTGACTAGGGAATCGATCCTCCTTTATTGGGGGTGGCCATCCTCTTTGACAGAGTGGGCAGCTTCTGGAGTGATGCACATGGAGAGGTGAGGGAGGAAGGGGACACAGCCTAGCCAGCCAGATCAGCCAAATCAACCCTGGCTATCACTGGGGTGGCAGACGTCACAGCCAGATCACCCTCACACCCATATCCAGGAAATATCTTACAATCACATCACACGTGAGTACCTTGCATCACATTATTATATAAGAAGGAAATTTAATAATCAATTCTTTTGAGTGTCTCACTTTACCAATAAAATTGATTCTTGAAGAGAACTGACATCTTTCATGCCACACATCAGGAGGTTTGGATCCTAATAAATCTTTCCTTTATTTTTCACTATGTTAATGAAGATAATCAACTGAGAGGTGATATTCTAGGGAATGTTGGAAAGAATGAGTAGAATCTGAGAGGAAACATTTGGCTATAGATTTAAGACTGAAAGTTTCAAAACACTGCAGACAGAATTAGGAAACAGAGGGGCTGTGGGTTGAGCTCAGTGGTTCCACCACCTGCCTCGCAAGTGCAAGGACCCAAGTTTGATCCCAGGTACCAAAAACAAACAAACAAACAAACAAAAAAGAATTAGGAAATAGAGTGACTATATTTACTTTGTAGGGCAATTTGACATTTCTTTTGATATCTTTTCTTTGCTTCAAATGATTTTATTCACCACTTTCTACGTCCCATATACTTGCAAAAGCTCTCTTTGTTCCATATGCTACACCTGAGAATGTTTTTGATGCTTCACAGAATTATTTGCTTTTCTTGTATGCTCTATATATCTGTTTTAGTAATTATTATCTGTTCCCTTATTGCCTTGTTTTTGTTTTTGTTTGTTGGGTGGCAATCCTATCAAAAGTGTCTAACCTATCAAAAGAAATGGCCCCAGTCTTGTCCTTGACTTGTCCAGATAACTTTGGGTGATCAACTAGTCAGTTTGCTCATGTAATCTTGGCTTCTTTCCCACTGATATGAACAACATTATCGGCTCTACCATTGTCGTCATCTTTGCTAAATCAATTTCCATTCTTCCAAAACAAGTTTATTTGTTATTTTACCTGCTCTTGGTAATGATGTATGGTCAGGACACAATTTAGGATCTCTGATCTTCAAGTTAGTGAATGCGATTAAGCCCATGCTCTGAAAAAAACAACAATTATCCAAGGATATGTGAATATTTTTAAATTATGTAAAAATATTATACTATCCAGCCGTGACATAATTTTGCATAACCACAAAGAGTGTCTCTTCACATTGTGTTCCTCATGCACTAGCACAGCAAAGCTGGGCACTGTAATATAAAGTTCAGCATTATAGAACCAGAGAACACGCAGACAGGGACATGGGACTCATGGTCAGACATTTGTCCTGCCCTACGCTCTGCGACAAAGAGCTTTATTACATGAGCGAGTCCCTGACCCTCTCTATGTCTCTGTTTCCTTAGCGGGAAAAAAATAGATAGTTTAAATTGGGCAATTTCTAAGAATTTTCTTCCAGGTGGTCCTGGAGATCAGACCCAAGGTTCTGCCACTCAGCTCCGCCAGCAGCTTGACTCTGAGGTTCATTACCAATATCCTGTTGTATTAATCTTAAACAACCCCAAGGGCAGAGTACTAATTAGCAATATGGGCTTTACCTCCATGTATCTGAAAGCGTCCTTGTCATTTCTGCGTGATAGAGAATATGAGATTCTATCAAAGTCTCTATGCTCATTATTCTGACAGTTTTCTGGATCATTTGTCAAATGATTTAATGTTGTGATGTAATCAAAATCCATCATACTTAGCAGGTCATATATCTATAAAAGACAAGAAAACAAATGATGAAATGTCTTTCTTGCTCTTTCCTGGATGACTCCCCTAACAAAAGAAAAAGTATACATATATATATATATATATATATGATTGCTATAAATTTTGGGGGGCAGGTATCAGGGATCAAACTCAGGTCCTCACGCTTGCAGGGCAGGCAGCAGAACCATTGAGCTAAATGCACACTTGCGCTTTTGGATGACTCCCCTAACAAAAGAAAAAATATACATATATATATATATATATATATATGATTGCTATAAATTTTGGGGGGCAGGTATCAGGGATCAAACTCAGGTCCTCACGCTTGCAGGGCAGGCAGCAGAACCATTGAGCTAAATGCACTGCCCTATAAATCATTTCTTAAGTATATTTGTGATCTATTAGAGATTTTCTAGATACTTTGTTTTGAAGGGTGTTTTAGCCTAAAGGTGATTATCAAATTCAAGCAAAGACTAAAAATTTTCCAAGCATCCAAGAATCACAGCAACATCAAGAGAAATTTAAAATTCTGTACCTTTCATTTGAGAAAGATAATATTTATAATACTGTCAAGGTAAAATATATGACATCCATGTTAGAAAATATTTTACAAAATATATCAGCCAACCAATAAACATACAATATCAAGTTCACACTTTTAGTTGACTACTGAAATATTTTTTTAAAACCCATGACAGCTGGATTAGGCAAAACATAAGTAACTGGGAGAGGTCTGAATAAAGAATTCTCTGCTGCCTTTCTTTAAATATCCACCCTCCCAAACAAGAAAAAAATCTCCAGCTGTGATAAAATTACGGTATGTTTAATTCTCCAAATACAATTCATAAAATCGGAAAGCAGACAGAAGGCTTGCAAATGATTTGGCCCAAATGGAAGAGTGACACAGCTACACGAGACAGTGCTGAAGTGTAGTAGGTACATTTGCCAAAAAGCCTCTGAAAGCTTTAGGATTTGGAAGCATGGGGTCCCTTAGAAGAAAAAAGATGGGTGAACATGGCATGAAGGAAGCCAAAGGAAAAAGAGATGGGTGTGCTTCCCTGGAGAGGGCTAGCAGGTAGGGTCTCGGGAATGGGCACATCTCAGCTCTGTCTCAGAAAGAAGCTTGTCCTTGGATGGAATGGACGGGCTCAGGGGAAAACACATCTCACACCTTCAACATTGTGCCTGCTCCTTTTCAAAGTTCTTGCTGGCCATCTTACAAATCAACAGTATGCCCCATCATGTGACAAGTATTGCTCCCAAGCCCAACTTTGATCAACTTTTCCTGCTTCACTCTAAACTACAAATAAATAGCTAAGGATCATCAGTCAGTTTCCAACATGAATGACAGAGACCAAACAAGAAAACAGAGGAAAATTAGGAAAGACCTGCAAATCAGAAACAAAAGAAAACTCCAAAAGAAGAAAGCATTCTGGTGCCTGCCTCACAAGCGCAAGGGCCCAGGTTTGATCCCTGGTACCGAAAAGAAAAAAGAAAATCACAACATAATACCCTATAAAACTGTCCTATGCATAGGAAAGATCACAACCATGAAACTACAACAAGACATAAAAATAAAATAATTGGGAAACAATAGCTTCCAAAATTAGGAATGAGAGTATGCTAATTTTAAACAAAATCTCTAGGAATATTAAATTGTAAATGTTGAGGAAATCTTCCAGAAAATAGAAAAACAAAGGAAAATAGGGGTAAATGGTGGTATAATACATTATAGACAAATGGACAATATTTGAAATCAGATGCAAGCTCTGAAATGTGCTGCTTGTTTTGTTTCACCCTTAGCACAATGCATTGATAAATTCTTCCAAACTACACTTTTATATCTGATAATGAAGATATATCTCTGTCATGCCATGACCATTAAAAATGATAATATATGTGAAAGAAAGTTGACAATTATTAATCTCCAAAGTCATATGAAGCATTGTGATTCATCGCTCCCTTTTCCGAACAGGTGGATCCCCAGGGCAGGGTGGAGGGTGGGACTCACAGAGGACTCAGAGAGCTCGGCCTCGGGCTTCTGGAGCAGCACGCTCTGGTCGACCGCCCGCAGGGCGCAGAGCGACTGAGGCGCAGCTGTGATGTGCAGGTGGGCTTGTGACGCTGGGAGACTTTGCGCGGGGCTGAAGCTCAAACCCACCTGTGAGAAAGTGCAGTCAGAAGCTTTGTGAGCTACTTGGCATCGCAGGCCTACAGCCCACCGCGGAGAGTTCTCCTGAGGGTCTTTGCTGCCTTTCCTTCACCCAGGTTTACTTGAGCAATACTTGGGAGGGTCATATTCTGAAGCAACAAATGACCACTGGGAGTGATGGATATTCTTGTTCATTGCTTTTAAGGACCGTTTATATATATGTTGTATTTTTCCGGGGAAAATGTCACTGATTCCAACTGTGGATATTTGTGGCCCCCTCCCCCTCTCCTCCCCCTCCCTCCCTCTCTCTCTCTCCCGCTCTCTCATCTTTGACCCAATTCCCCATTTCATTTCAGGTGAGTGGGATTCAAGTGGGCCAATGGGAAGAGAGTAACACTGTGGTTGTTTGAGTTCACGGAAGGGGAGAAAGGAAGACATTAGCTGCAGGATACAAAGTTGCAATTACACAAGATGAATTGAATCCCACAGATCTGCCTTAGGCACGTATTTAACATTGCTATATTGTCCACTTAAGAACTTGACGAGCGGATATTTTCTAACTTAAATATTATCATACACATACAGAAATAACGAAGATAGGATGGGATAAAAGTGTGCTGGACGAAGAGTTGGGAAACCTGGATCTTAGTTTTGGTCCTGCCATAAAATGTGTATGGCTTTGAATAAGTGACTAAATTACTATGTATGACCTCAATCCTTTATCTATAAAGTAATTTATGTCCTTCTTAAACTTCTGTTTATGTTCTTTTCATTTTTGTCATTTTAGAAAATAAATCACCAACCTTGCTGTAAAGACAATTTGCGATCTTAAATTGTGCAGAATCCGCGATCACTTCCCGGTTGGGTAAAATGGCGTAGAGGAGCATTTTGGCGACGGGAGCCATGTGCGGCACCATAGGGACCGACAGATTAAAGTGGCCTTGAGCTGCGGCACAGAAGGGAAGGGATAGAGAGTCATGGCCCATGCAGTGGAAGGAAACCCGAAGGGCTGCACGACAGCCTCACGCTGACAACATTCCTACGCGTGTACAGGGCTTTATGGTCTGAATGCTAATGGCTAGTCAGGGTGTGAAAAAACAGGGCAGGTTATCTTCCTCCGAAAGAGCCTGGCTGTGCAAAAACATGTCCACGTTACTTTTCCCCTCTGAATAGGGGGAAAACATGGTAATCTCTTTTGTTTTTTATACCTTGGCTAGGCTAAATCGCATCATTAGCTCTCAGCACAATAAGGTGGAATCGGGCGGGGATTTAGCTCAGTGGCGGTGTGCTTGCAAAGCAAGTGCAAGGTCGTAAATTCGAGCCCAGTACCGAAAAACAAAAACAAAACACAATAAGATGGTATCGAGCAATGCCACCACCTCAAATGACTTTACATTTGTGACTTAGGGAGGGGGAATGGCATGGAGATGACAGCCAAGCCCTGAAGGTCCCCGGTGATGGGTTGCTGTGGAGTACAGGTTACCGCAGGGAAGTCGACACTTAGAAACACAGACCTTTTCTTTAAAACATCTTGTTTGAACCAAATGTTCCCAGCATTCACATTATATAAGGGAAAATTATGCAGCTATAGAAATCTCCTTTAGCATTACTCAAATCGAAGACATCAGTAAGCCTCCAAAGGGCTCTGTGATTTCTCTTTATTTCCTTCCTTCTTCTTTCAGTGCTGGGGATGAGGGTCTTGTACAAGCTAGGCAAACACTGCACTTCACCCTCAGCCCTCCACTCATTCTTTTAATCATTCAAACATTAATATCACTAGAGTGACCAAGAGGCCAAGGCACAAGGGGTGGGGATTTAGCTCAGTGGTGCTGCCACCTGCCTCACAAGCTCAAGATCCTGAGTTTGATCCCGGTTAAAAAAAAAAAAAAAAAAAAAAAGTCCAAGGCAGACAACATTTAGATCTTATTGGATTAAAAAATAGCATACATTTTGCCTTTTTTGGTGAAGTTCCTGGTCTGACTACATGGATTACTCACATGTACAAGTATATGCATATTTACTGATGTTGGGTAATGTTCACCTTGCCAGTCTGAGACTTCACAGCTCTCAAACTGAGTTGATGATGTGAGTGAGGACACCCAGGAAGAGTCACAACTTTGAGTTCCATCTGTCAACACCGTGTCGTGGGGACACAGGAAGCATCACAACATCTCTATTTTGCTCAGTCGTGGGGCAGACCTTGCTGAGTATGAAGGGGGAATGGCCAGAGACATATTGGTGGATTCAGAGCACTCACATTCTCCTGGTTCCATGAGGAAAGCATGGGTTCCAGTTTGAACGATGCTGCCCTTGGTTGTGATCTAAATTAAAAAGCATTGTCTCAGTATATCTGCCCACTCCTGAGATCTGACTCCCACATAATGAGTTGAGGCTCAGAGCCTCAGACCACATTCTCCAGCCCAGTGAAAAGTCAAATGGTCAAGAGAGACATGGTTAGGAAATCGAAGGATTTCAATATTTTTGTGCCTCGAGGTCAGATTCCATTTCTCAGCTTGGAGGCAGAACTCACCAGGTAATAGAAGATCATCTCCCTCAGCTCCCCCAAGACCTGTCCATTCAGAATGTAACGTGCATGAACTGTATGGATTTGGCCACAGGGTAAGGCACCAGCCACAGGCTCAAGGTAGACAAAGCTCTTGCTGAAGGAGAAAACAGAATCCACACCATAAACTAGTTCTCTGAGTTCTTCTTTAATACAATAGTTCTTAAAACAAAGACCCTGCTCCTTGTAGTAGACCTGAAAAAACAAAAATAAATACTGTGTTGTGGACTGCTTACTGGAAGGACCTCCTGTTCTAACTGCATAAGCTTACTCCCTCACCTGAGTGAGACAATTGTTAGATAATTTTTGGCTTCTTAATAAAAACTGAAGAAAATTATCCCTTGCTGCTAAATGAATGAATTTATGCTCCATCCCCTTAATTTCAGAAGTTTGGGGGAAGTATTTACACCTACATGTAAAGAAAAGTGAAGAATATCTTCTGTGTAGATTATTATCTAAACAGAACAGATCCAGAGACACTGGGAAATGTCACTGAGGAGAACAACTGTGCTAAAGACCTAAGTTGATCTTCAGCAAATAGATGTCTCAAAATAGTGGGGCTTCCTCAAATTGTGTAAATGAATAAGCAGCAGAACCAATGCATAGGTGAATGCTGCCATTACTGTGACACCAGGAACTGGCCTTGCAACGTCTCTGAAGCTCTGTACCTTTCAGCCTTGCAAAATTTATCTGTGCTACAATTATACTTTGCTCTCATATAATACTAGTTCCTTACTAATTCAGGTTTTATTGTTGTGGGGTTTTGTTCGCTTGTTTGTTTGTTTACAGTATTGAGGATGGAGCTCAGGGTCTTGCACATTCTAGACAAGTGCTCTGCCTCTAAGCCGCATCCCCTCTCTCCTTCCTCTTTGTGCATCAAAAGACTGTGTGGCCTTCTTCTCAACCTTCACTCTACTTTGTTCATATATCCATAGTAATGTTAAGAGGTGTTACAATATTCTATGGATTTTTCTACCATCAATGATGTAGATCCATAAAATACGGGTCATGATTATTTTTAATAACAAGGACTAGCACAGTGCACAGCAATTCAATTATGCCATGAGTGTCTCTGTCTGGGAAATAAACATAATATTTGGGGCAATTAGAGAACATTTATATCCCTGATTGAAAAAAAGTTATTCTTTTTTATTTGCAAATGATTTGAGAAATATAGAATATAACCAAAACAAAATCAGATAATAATTAATCAAGAATATAATATTTAAAAGGACATCTTTATGGTTTGGCAGTTAGTTCTGTATTCTTTCTCCTCTTTAATTATTTATCAAGAATGTCTCATAATTCATTCCAAATTAAGGCAAACTAGAATATAAATCTCTTTTTTCTTGAGGTAAGAACTACTGAGGTGCAATTCTGTTACCAAGACTTCTCCTTGTGTTCTCACTTCCAAACTTACATTGAAAGTGAAGGAGGAATGTTCAATGTCAGTGGTGTTAATGGAGAACTCTACCAGGCCATGCTCATCAGTGGTAGCATTGGTGGTATAAGAGTTTATTTTATCCACGTGTAGGGAGACATGTTCATTTACGATAGGAACTCCTTTCTTCTCAAGGAGTAGCTGTAATAGAACAATGAAGGAAGCTGTGAATTAGATTTGATACTACTACCCAGGACTACAGGAGCAAAATACTTTTCTGACATTACATAAAGGCCAAATAGCTTCCCATCACTAACCTAAGTCTGCTTTTATTTCCCAGGTGGGATCTTTTTAAACTGATAATGGACTGAATAAACAAAACAATAAGTAAGTTTACAGAAGATACTAATAAAAAGCTAGATGACCTGAACAAAATGGTACAAAACATAAATGACCACCTTAAGAAAGAATTAGACTCCATGAGAAGGCATCAAGCAGGAATTTGGGAGTTTAAAAATTCTGTTGAAAGTATGGGCAGCAGAAGTAATCAGTATGAGAACAGAATGTCAGAACTGTGAGATCAGGCTGCTGGCAGAGGCCAATTACTCAGAGATACCTTTAAAAAAAAACAACAGAACATGGAAAATGGACCCAACAGCTGCTAGATGACACAGGACTAATCTAAGATTGAATGAAATTAGTGAAAAACCAGAAGACCACACAAATCACACACACACACACACACACACACACACACACACACACACACAACCCTGTTAACAAAAATAATAGCAGAAATCTTTCTAAATTATATGGGAGAAATTGACATACAGATAAGTGATTCATATAGAACCCCAAATAGCCATGATCAGAGAAGAATTCCTTAACACATCATAGTCAAAATTCCAGACTTCTAAAAGAAGAACAAAAACCTTAAAAGCTCTTAGAGCAAAGCAACAAATTACTTACAAAGGTAAACTCATTAGAATTACAGCAGACTACACAGCACAAACTAAAGGCCAGTAGAACACAGAGAGAAGTATTTTAAGCATTAAAGGAAAACAACTTCCAACCCTGACTGATGTATCCTGCAAAAATATGTTTCAATTGATGGAGAAATAAGGTATTTCCATTACAATGAGCATCTTAAATTTTTCAAGACAAAATAGTAATGAAGATGTAAGTGATTATAAGGGTGATTATAAGGACAGTAGTACCTATAAAACTTCATGGTGCTCGGGTGAGAATAGCTACAATAACTAGTTCTGTATGAGTTTCAGAGGAGTAAGCAATGACCACCAAACCAGCACTACACAAAGTTCTCAAGGATATACTAGAAAGAGAAAATGAAGCCAACAATGCCAAAAAGTCTAATATAAGGAATGTACCAGGTGGGGTGAGAAGTTAAGCAGTGGGGAAAAAAGAATGAGAAACAGGTAAATAATGAAATGACAGAAATAAGTAAATAGTGGTCAGAAATGACAATGTGAATAATCTCAATTCTCAAATCAAAGGACAAAGATTGGCACAATGATTTGAAAAACAAAACCAACTCTCTGCTATATACAAAAAACTCACTGAATACAGAAAGAAGTTCAGAGACTAAAAATCACAGGATAAGAAACAATATTCCATGCAATAAGAACCCAAAAGCAACCAGAAGTAGCTAATTATTTTCAAAGTGGTCTTCAAGCCAAAATTGATCACAAGAAGCAAAAAAGGTCACTACGTGTTAGTGAAGGAAACAATTCAACAGTAAATGACAGCATCTACAAACATATATGCACCAAATACCGGCAAACTCAACTTCACAAAACAAATACTATTGGAAATTAAAAATCAGATAAAGAATACAATTACAGAGCTAGGGATTTAGCTCAGTGGCACTGTGCCTGCCTCGCAAGCACAAGGTCCTGAGTTTGATCCCCAGTACCAAAAAAAAAAACAATGACAGTGGAAATGTTTGATACCCCACTATTACAAATAGATAAATCAACTGAATGAAAGATCAACAAATAAATATGAGAACCAAATCTTTTTTTAAAAAATGGACTTCACAGATATATACTTAGGGGTCCACCCAAAAACAACAGAGTACACATTCACTTAAGAAACACATGGAACTTTCCCCATAATAGATGATATACTAGTTCAAGCATGCTTAAATACAGGCAAAAGAACTGAAATTATGCTGTGCACATTGTAAAAATATAGTGCATTGAAACAACAAATCAATGGCAAAAGAAACCACAGAAACCATGCACATATGGAAATTAAACGATACCATCTTGAATAAACAATGGGCCACAAAAGAAAGCCAAGAAAAAATTAGCTCCTAAAAGAACCTGAAATGCTAGTACACCATACCAGAATCTATGGGATACAATAAACATAGTCCTAATAGGGAAGTTTATAGTTGTGAACACTCATATTCAGAAAAAGAATGAACCAAAATAATCTAATGATGCACCTGAAGGTCCTACACAAACAAGAACAATCCAGGCCTGCGCCCGACCCAGCCACCATCCTTCCAGGCCCCTGAACCCCCATAAGCCCCCCCCCGGCACTCTCAGACTTCCTGACTGTGCCAGTCTTTGGACCCACTCTACAGAGGCAGAGGTGGTCATCAAGGGTATTTTTCTGAGTTCCCAACTTTGAACATCTTTAAAGAAAGGGCATGGGAAACCTCTAATAGAATGTTGTGGAGTTCAACCATTCAGAAGGTTGGAGAACTCAATCTGGGCCTTGCAGCCCAAGGTCAGTCAGCATCATGGGGTTCAGCCATCAGCTAACTGAGATCAGGGGTCTTGCATCCTTGCTCTGTCTGAGCCATTAAATGGTAAATACATTATATTGAAATTTTGTTCACTGTAGACATGTTCTGGACTGCTTCTTGATTTCAATTTAATTCAAATGATTTAAGGGTGATAGACTAGTGACTACCACAGGTGGTCAGTGTCCAAGTTGTGCTTGATCTTAATGTGCTGCTGATTGTATCAGTTGGGATAAAGCATTGTGGTTGATTTGATGAGCTGTTTTCTCTGATGTTATGAAGATGAGAATGTTTGTGGGTCATTAGAGACACAGAAGCTAGGGCACAACTATATCAGGAAGATTTGGGTGATAATCCAGAGATTAAACCAAGGACAGTCCGACAACAAAAATAAAAATGAGAAAACACTTAAGCAAGATACAAGGACAGACTTCCAGTTTATCAATGGCAAACAATAGGGCAAATGAGGAGGAAAAGGCCTATAGTGAACCACCAGGACACCCTGAACTCAAAGCACAGGAAGTAACAAAACAGATCAATCAGGCTCTAGAAAAATTCAAAACGGAAATAATTTCCAAGATAACCATAGAGATAGTGAGCAAAATGGAGGTCATGATTCGAGCCTCTAGAGAAGAAACTGACAAAAAAGTAGATCAGCTCAGGACCATGATAGAAGCCATGAAGGCCCAGCATAAGAAAGAAATGGAAAAAATAAAGAAACTGAAAAAAGTAGATCAGCTCAGGACCATGATAGAAGCCATGAAGGCCCAGCATAAGAAAGAAATGGAAAAAATAAACGTCCAACATAGGAAAGAAATGGAATCCATAAAACAGATTCAAACATATCCAGGAGAGAAAAA